AGTTAGATAAGCCTTGGTGGAACCAGGTAATCATGCTTTACAATATTTTAACGAATTAAATTTTTGTGAATGTAATTGGTCTCTAATTGCAAATTATGAATGAGTATAGGTTACATGGGACCCATTTCCACGTGAAGTAGTCGAGATGCATCATTTGGGACCCATTTCCAACCTCGGTCGACCTTCATCCAACAAAGGCCCCAACTCCAAGGCTCAAACTTCTAACAACCGTATCAATCACAAGGTGCCCCAGGGTTTCAACAACAACAACAACCCGACAAGCTATCTAAGCTTGAGGACCTAGTGAACACCTTTGTGAGTACGAGTAGCCAAAATTTCGAGAAGATAGAGCAATTTATGGATGTGGCGACTACCAAGTTTACCTCGGTTGAGGCGGGTCTCCAAAGTCATCAAGCGAGACTTCAAAACTTGGAGGTGCAAATCGGAAACCTTGTCGGTATCCTCACCGAGAGACCCAAGGGAGCTTTACCTTCCCAAACCGTGGTGAACCCCAAGGACCATGCCAGGGTAAATGCGCTTTGAGTGAGGAGTGTGAACGTGGTTCCGGAAGTCGCCACTAGTGAAGCGATGGAGAAGGAAGATACCGACAAGGAAGTGACCAACCCAAAGAAGGGAGAAGGGAAGCCCTCGAGGAATGAGAGGAAGGTTGCAAGAAAGGCTTTTCCGGTGGATGGATACAAACCACCTCTTCCCTATCCCACAAGGATGTACAAGGAGAGGTTGGAAATGCTCCGCAACCTCCACCTCAACATCTCGTTCCTCGAAGCCATTGCTCAAATGCCAAGATACGCCATGTACAAGATATGCCAACGTGACTCTTGGCCGGGAGTGTTCGGCTTACCTCCTCGCCCGCTTGCCCAAAAAGCGGTCCGACCCAAGTGGCTTTACTATCCCTCTTGATATTGGCAACCATCATATAGACAATGCCATGGCGGACCTACTAATGGTCTGGCAATCCGATGTTCAAGTGGTGGTCAAAACAAAATCCACGAATCATATAGATGTGTTAGTAGATGATGGAGGCACGCAATGGAGACTCACAGGGATCTATGGGTGGCCTGAACAAGACAAAAAATTCCAAACTTGTGAGCTACTCAGGGAGCTCAGAGATATGACAGACCTACCATGGTTAGTGTGTGGTGATTTCAATTTAATACAGAGCTATGAAGAGAAAAATGGCCTGAATCTGGCTAATGCTCAGGAGATGGATATGTTCAATGATGCTCTAGAAGATTGTGAACTAGAAGATCTTGGCTATTATGGAAAAACTTTTAAGTGGGATAATAACCACTCTGATGACACCTACCTAGAAGAGAGATTGGACAGAATGGTAGCAACAAGCTCCTGGAAATCCCTTTACCCTCATGCCAGAGTGTATAACCTCAAAAGGTGTGGTTCAGACCATTCACCTATTCTACTGCAAACTCAATTGGTTCACAACAATATCAGTGGGGCTGGAATTTTCGTTTTGAGCCATTCTGGCAAAAGCATGAGGACTGCAAGCAAATTATCTTGGATGGCTGGTCTGATGGCCAGGGGGCTTCGGTCATAGATAAGATGGCAAATTGCGAAAACAAAATTTTCCAGTGGAGCAAGGAAACCTTTGGGGATCTACGAACAAGAAAATTTAAAGCAGAGAAGGCCCTGGAGCTCCTGGAAAAAAGAAAGAAGAATGCAGCAATAATTTTACAGAGAAAGGCCATTGAGAAGGAGCTTAACGAGATTATGATGCAGGAAGAGTTGAAATGGAAGCAACGTTCCAGAGCAGATTGGCTCCAAGGAGGGGATAAAAACACAAACATTTTTCACAGGAAGGCGTCTGATAGAAGGAACATAATTACTATAAGCAAGCTAATGGATGAGACATGAGAGATAAGGGAGGGTCACAGTGCAGTGACCAATGTTTTAACTAACCATTTTAAGTCTATTTTCATTGCAGGTGACCGAGTCTCTATAAGTCATATTTTGGAAGCAGTCCCATGCAAAGTAACTACAGAAATGAACGAGGAACTCCTAAAACCCTTCACAAACGAGGAAATCTGGACAGCATTGAAGAAAATGGGACCTCACAAGGCACCAGGGGTGGATGGTATGTCAGCTCTCTTTTTTCAGAAGAATTGGGATATTGTGGGACCAGATGTTACACAGGAACTCCAGAATTATCTAAACACAGGCACGCTCCCTCAGACTCTCAATCACACTCTGTTAGTTCTGATTCCCAAGAAAAAATTGCCAATGAGCCCGGGGGACTATAGACCTATCAGCCTATGCAGGGTACTTTATAAGATATTATCTAAGGTCCTGGCTAATCGACTCAAGCAGATTTTGGCCAAAGTGATTAATGAGTTTCAGAGTGCTTTTGTTCTTGGGAGGTTAATCACAGATAATGTTATGGTGGATTTTGAGTGCTTCCACTCAATGAAAGGCAGGATAAAAGGAAAGAAAGGCTTTATGTCCGTCAAATTGGACATCTCAAAAGCCTATGATAGGGTGGAATGGGACTTTCTGGAGTCTATTATGCTTAAATTGGGGTTCAATGACAGATTGGTGGCGATTATTATGGCTTGTGTTAAGACTGTTTCCTACTCGATTATGGTTAATGGCCACAAAACAGAGACCTTTTTCCCTACTCGAGGGTTGAGACAAGGAGATCCTATATCCCCTTACGTGTTCTTATTCATTGCGGAGGGTGTTATCTGCTCTTATTTCGAAGGCTGAAAGAGACAAGAGGATAGCAGGTATACAAGTTAAAAGAGGAGCTCCTACGATCTCTCATCTTCTCTTCGCAGATGACAGTGTTCTGTTTACAAAAGCCACTACTCCTGAATGTATACAATTAAGAGAGATCCTGACCCTGTATGAACAGGAATCTGGACAGAAAGTGAATCTTGAGAAATCTGAAATTTCTTTCAGCCCAAATGTGGAGGAGGTAAAAAAGCTGGAACTGGCTGCCATTCTTGGAATGAAGGTAGTACCTTGTCATACCAAATACCTCGGCCTACCCACCATAGTTAGAAGGAGGAAGGAGGTTTTCAGCTATCTTGTTGACGGGTCAGAAGGAAGGTGAAGTTGTGGAAAGGGAAATTGCTCTCTTTTGGAGGGAAGGAGGTCTTGATAAAGGCAGTAGCCCAAGCACAAATGACTTACGCAATGCAGGTTTTCCTAATCCCTATATCAGTCACTCAAGAGATTCAGAGAATCGTTTCAAACTTCTGGTGGGGACATCAAGATTCAAAACGCAGGACGCATTGGGTTAGTTGGCAGGAGCTGTGTAGATCCAAAAAACAGGGGGGGGCTTGGTTTCAGGAATTTGCATGATTTTAATCTGGCCCTGTTAGGAAAACAATTGTGGAAGATGATTCAAAATCCAACTTCTTTAGTCTCAAGAGTGATGAAGGCCAAGTACTTTCCGACTCGTGACATATTGGAAGCAGAAGGAGGGTATAACCCTAGCTATATTTGGAGGAGCATCCTAGCGGCCAAAGATTTCATGAAGGAAGGATTGCGATGAAGAGTGGGAAATGGAAACAAAATTGATATTTGGCAGGACAAATGAGTTCCTACCTCCCTAAACTATCGAGTTCAATCGCTAGTTTCCTTATTTGCCCCATACCCATCAGTGAATGAGCTTATGGACACAGAGACGAGAACCTGGAATCATGCCCTATTACAAACTCATTTCCTCCCTCAAGATAGACAAAACATTCTGAGAACCCCAATACCGAGACAACCAGCAGAAGACAAGAGAATCTGGGGAAGGGATAAGTCTAGTCTATACTTTGTGAAGTCGGCTTATAAGGCGTTGAGAGCTAGCAAAGAGGCAGAATTGGGAGAAATCTACACCCCTATTAATTGGGATCGAATTTGGAAGCTCCAAATCCCTCCTAAAGTCAAAGTGTTTGCGTGGAGATGGATTTGCAATATCTTTCCAACAGGAGCTAATATTCTTAAGAGAACGACTAAAGGGTGCGATGAATGTCCATTTTGTGGACTAGAGGAGACACGAAATCACCTCTTTCAAGACTGTGGTTGGGTTAGGAGAGTTTGGAGACCTAGTTCCTTAAAGCTTTGTTTCGAGAAGGGTAAGGATCTAACCTGCGAAGAGTGGATGGTGGCTCTCCAGGAGACCGAGTCCGACGAGCAGATAGCCCAATTTCTGGCGGCTCTCTGGTTCATATGGGGAGAACGGAACAGTCAGTGCTGGAACAAGAAGAAACTGGAAGAATTTGAAATAATGGGAAGAGCGGAACGCTGGTTGGCTGAGTACCTGGAATATCAGCAAAAAGGATCGGAGATGGCTCCCCGGCAGGCGGTCCGATGGAAACCTCCGGACACAGCCGCTTTCAAGATCAATGTCGACGCAACGACGTTTGCCGGAGCTGGCACTGGGTTGGGGGTTGTGGTTCGAGATAGAAATGGGGATTTGTGCTGTGCTGCAGTTAAAAGAACAAGAATTCAATGGCCAGCGGAATTGGCTGAGTTGCAAGCTATAAAATTTGGATTAGAGATTGCGAGGGAGAAGGATTTTGTGCCTGGAGAAATTGATTCGGATTGTCTCAGGGTTGTGCAACAAATTGAAAGGGAAGAGCTTTCGATGACGGAGGAAGGAGTGGAGAGCGCTGAAGTGCGAGAGATGATCGACAATTTCGATGGGTCGATGGAGATCTGGTTTGCGGGTCGAGACAACAATAAGGCGGCCCACACCATGGCTCATGTCCAATGTGGGTGGGATGATACTGAACTTTGGGCTCCTAGGCCACCAATTTCCTGGCGGACCAACTTATCCTTGATACCTGTAATATTTCACATTAATGAAATAATACATGTTGTTCTATAAAAAAAAAAGTAATTTCTTCACCGTTTTGTTTAAACGCGATGATTTATTCACCATGTTTGTCTATAGCAGTGATTGCATGACAAAGGGATGTATTGAAATTTTTTTTTATAACTTATGTATTTTGAGAATTTTTTTTTAATTACTAGTGTATATTGGAATTTTTCCCACATTTCCTCCTCTCATATTAGAATTTAGAAGAACCCTTCTTGCAGCAGGTTCACTCGCGTCTGCTTTGATTCGGACTCCAGTGGGAAGGTACTTTCCTCTACTTTTGCCTATCCATGGTGGTCGTAGCTGTCTCTCCGCTCCAGCTTTCTCTTTTCCTTTGCTGATGCTTATCTTCCATTCTTTTGTTGTCCGTGAGTGCATTCTCTTCCAGCGTTTCCACTTTCCAGTGCCGTCGTTTGAGTTTCTGCTGAGATAAAGATGGCTAGTTTCCCCCCCTTCTTTATGTTTTCCTTTGTGTTTTCTCTAGAGAAGTTAATGGGGGAAGTCACTTCGTGTTTTTGCTGTTGTTTGATCTCCGGAAAATGAAGGTTTACTTCCATTTCTCTTTGAAAATTCTCGATTTTTGTATGTTTTTTCTTTCCTGCTGGTAGGGGAACTTGAGGAGGACCCATTGATTGGTTCCCGTACTGGATATTTCGTCAAGAAATCTCGTGTGGTTGGTGAAATTAGGGAGTAGCCAGCCATGCCAGACGTGCAGGCCCTCGTTAATGACTTCCTCAATAAGCTTAAGAAACGGTGAGTTAGGGGGTTCCTCAGTTCGAATTTGGCGGTTGCATTGGAAGAATTAGGGGCTTAGCTTGTCAAAGAATTAAAAATTGGATGAACTTTTGGTGGGCAGTAAAATTGAGGGCTCCCAGGCAACAGCGAAGCAGACTGCTGAACTCCTGCGCTCAGTGATTTCACAGCAGCGGGTGCCTTATACTAATCAGGCTGGAGCCTTGATTGATTCTGTTAGAGCTATTGGAGAGCAGCTTATTGCTGCAAATCCTATTGGTATGTCTGCCCAGTTAGTTTTTATGTCCATCTCTAATTTACATGTAGTTCTGAAGGAGAAGCCTTCAATTGGATAGGCTTTGTAATTTCTGAAATCTAATTGTAGTTATGCAAATAGGTATAGCGAACGCCCAGCAATTCGCATCTCATGAATCTGAGTCTTATGTATCCAAGACTGGATTACTTCTGCTTGGGTCATCTGTCTAGAGTTCCTAATGCTTCTTTAATATTAATGTTCTTCTTCTCCATATCTGGTTGCAGAGCTAGCTGTGGGTAATATTGTGAGGCGTGTTTTGCACATTATTAGGGAAGAGGATCTTTCATTGACAACAGCTGCTGTTACGGAGTTGAACTTATCAACCATAAGTGATGACGACGACGATGATGGTGGTGGTAACCAAGATGATCACCCAGTTCTATCAGCAGCGGCTGTTGCTGCTGCTGCAAGGAGCAGCCTTCGTCCACCATCCTTGCAAATGTTACTGGAGGGTGCACCTGAATTTGTTGCTGTTCCTCGTTCATCTTCTTCTGGTGGTGATTCTGAAGGGAAAAGCAAATGTAAGATTCCCTTTCTTTTCCTCTACTATGTCTGTCATGTGGAGTGACACCAGATCTGTTGCTATTGTGAGCAATTGTAGAAATAAATTGGTCATCATGGGGTGGAACTCATTTGTTCTGAAATTTCTTGTTTAAGGTTGCATGCACTTATGTGATCAAGAAACCAAACTGACTGATCTCTATGGCTCTTTGTATTGGCTAATAGAAACCTGCTTATTGAATCTTTTATTGTACGTAACAGCTATGGATAGAAATTCAAGAACACGAAAGCTGAAACATGATGTCATTGAAGCAGTTAACGAGCTCATTCAAGATATTACAACGTGTCATGAACTTATTGCCGAGCAAGCTGTGGAGCATATTCATCAGAAGTAATCCCTACGATATTTTTACTTTTCACTTAAGTTAATTTTCTACAACTCGTTTCTCTGCCTTTAATGTGTTTGGTTTTGTGAATGTTATGGGCGGAGCTTAGGATGTGGAATGGTTTACTGTAATTTTGGTATGGATGAAGCACATATTTTTTCCTTTGTATCTATTTTGCTTCAACACAGTTTCTGGTTCACTTCTAGTATCTGTTTTTAGAGAGTTTAATTTCATTGTAGTTGCTTCTGATGTCTGTTGCTTTCTTATGTGGCTAGTGCCTTAATATTTCAAGTGGAAACTAGTGTATGTTTTGGTGTCGTGCCTATTATCTACTTCTGTTGGAAACAACAAATTCCCATTCAGCAAGTTAACTTGGACTCGATGAAACAGTCTACCAGAAAATAAATCTCGCACTGGGTTCCTTTTTGTTATGTGCATAGATTTTTATGGAGAAGATGTATTAGCATTTATTTATTTTTCTTGGGTGATATTGTTACTGCCTTAACTAATTTGGTTATGAAATTGTCTTCAGTGAGGTAATATTAACTTTAGGAAGTTCAAAAACAGTGTTAGAGTTCCTGTGTGCTGCAAAAGAGAAGAAAAGATCATTTCGTGTATTTGTCGCTGAGGGAGCTCCAAGGTTCGTGTAAACAGCTACTTTGTACTGCAAATAAACTACTTTCTTGTTGGTTCTATGAGGAACATTTTTCTAAATACATTCATTCCATAAATAGGTATCAGGGGCATCTACTGGCAAAAGAATTGGCTGCAAGGGGATTGCAGACCACTGTAATTACTGATTCTGCAGTTTTTGCAATGATTTCTCGAGTAAACATGGTATGTAAATTGGGTACATTCAACTTCAATTTTCTTTCTCCTGCTGTGAACTGGATTTGAGACAGAAGACTACGACTAATAATTCTGCTTGAAATTTCTTTTGTTAAGGTTATAGTGGGATCGCATGCTGTGATGGCGAATGGTGGGGTCATAGCACCTGTTGGAATGAATATGGTTGCACTTGCAGCTCAAAAGCATGCCGTCCCTTTTGTTGTGCTTGCTGGTATTCACAAGGTAATTTTAGTGTAACTAGCAGCTTTACCTGTCATGGACCTATGGTAATATGTAAGCAGACTTTTCCTTTGTTTCGCTGGTTACTGCTCTGCTTGGCTTGGCTCTCTTACCCTTTTGGTTTCTGTATCTAATTTCCCTGGTGAACACTCCTCAAATTTATTGTTGTTTGTCTTGTTTGGTAGTTGTGCCCCTTGTATCCTCATAATCCTGAGGTGTTACTGAATGAACTGAGATCCCCATCGGAGCTGCTAGATTTTGGCGAATTTTCTGATTGCTTAGATTTTGGGAGTGGCGACGGTTCCCCTCTCCTTCATGTTGTCAACCCAACATTTGATTATGTCCCACCAAAGGTCGTTAGTTTGTTTATCACAGACACGTAAGTTGCTCCTATCCTGCCTCTGTTCTGGGCATGCTATATATCGACACAGTATTTATTCACAACTTTATGCAACTCGTTTGACTGATCTGGACAACACTGCATATCTAGTTATTTACGTGTTATCTTACTAAGTATACGTTGTTCACTGGACTCCCTGGTAGATGTGTAACTATGCATAGAAATACATGTAAATATTTGCATATATAATGACCTTGCTGCTGCTATTCCTCTTTGGCAGTGGTGGGCATAATCCTTCCTACATGTATCGGCTCATTGCTGATTATTATTCAGCTGATGATTTAGTGGTGCAAAGAAGGCATTCCGCAGTTAATTGAATTTGGGAAGAAGAAAGCTCCTTTGTGCAGTATATGACGTAACTTGTTAGCCAGTACTGCTGCCGTCAAAGAAGAAAGGAATGAGGCTCTGATTGACTGGCCAATTTTGTGGAATGTAATAAAATAAAAAGACATACAAAAATCTGCATCAAATTGAGGGCAAGGGAAAGGAAAAGCTTGACGGTGTTCTTATTTATGAATGTAGTAAGAATCTTGTATTTGCCCAGAGAAGAGTCATGACAGCGACTGAAGTGTTATTTTTCAGGATGCTCTATACTCGTAGGCCTAGTCCTCGGGGAAATTTTGATCTTAGATGGTTTTTGTAGTTGAAATAAGGTTCGGATACGTTTAATACCAGATGCTGCTTTCATTTTCAGAGCCTCAATAGCACTGTTAGAAGCATTTTGTATTGAATTGGACTCGTACGCATTTGACAGAAATTAAAGGATATTATGAGAACGGAAGAACTTGATTATTTGTTTGAAAAAGATAACGATTTGGTACAACAATAACACATTTGAAGCAAATGTAGGCATCTATTTTATCTTACAACGCAAAAAAATCCAAAAGGGCTATGCATACATCATTTATGGTCTACATCAAACCAGAAGTAGACACAAGCGCGAGCATATATAGCACGAACACGTTGCAAAGCCAGGTCTCCATTTGTGAGTACAGCCTTGGCACCCCCTTCTATTCGGGTTTCAGACACAGCAACACTATTATTGCTGCCATTTTTGTTCTTGCAAGTGGAAGAAGCCAAGACTTCAAGCCCGGTGGCACCTGCTGTGCTCACGATAGGGCATGAGAGGTAGTCCAGAGGGTTAGATTCACACAGAAGTATACAACCATCTATGGTCAGCCTCCCACTTCTATGAAGCAAGCAACAACCAAGCTCCGCTCTCACAGTTAGGTTCATCAATTTGCAAGACGAAATGCACTCCAGCGCGCTGCCCAAAAGTCATATGGCACAGTGAGAAAATACCACGAAGGTTGATAATTTTTTCATGAAATAAACAATAGGATAGTAGTGACCTGAGGGTTTGTCGAAAGAATTTAACATTATTCTCATTAGATAAATAGCTTGAAGGAGGCTCCCCAAAGATCAACATCAATACAATTTACAAAAGGAAGGAAGTTCTATGTACCTGTCCGAACCTCTACAGCACAGAAGTGTTGTTTCATCTGGGATATCTCCTCCACCAACCTGAAAACACATTTGATTAGAGAGAAAAGCACCCATCCACTAATCTGGTACTGAAAACATGTTCTCTCATCAACATTGTACAACCAGGGATCCAGCATATCTGGGTCATGAATGTAATGGGACAGAGTTACTGAAAAACCATTAAGTGAATCTTCAGTTCATTTTCATGAGGCATAACTTCAATGAGGCCAAGTTATTCGGATTAAAGACAGAAATTCCATGAATCCCCACTTCTCGAGATTGAAGATATTGAGAAAGAAACACAATTTCCTAAAATACAAAAACATTAAGTTAATAAACAAGTACACTTCCTGAAGTCACAAGTCATGTTTGAAGAAGCCAGTAACTACGAAAGCATGCCATATGAGGTTTTAATCAAAGCATCTAAGCATGACAAGTACATCACTTCAGCGAATAATTAACCACAGAATTCAATCCGAACATACCAGGCAAAGTGGTTTATCTATCTGAATATTAGAGGCAAAATGACTCCCTCCTGCTGCAATTAGAATGGTATCTCCAGGTCTAACAGCAACATAATCATCAGAATAGAGTATTCACAACTCAGAGAGAAATTACATCTCAATAAAGTACCTCGCAGCAGAAACAGCAGTCTCGATACTGGGGAAGACTCCAGGTTCTTCGAGATCTTTCACAGAACGGTCTACTCTGAGCCATAGGCGAGGATGACATGCCAAGTAACGCCATCTGTGGCAAACCAGGGCGGTGTTATACCGATCTGCAAACTCAATGGAAACAAGTGACAAGCAATTGCAAAGTGTACCATAGAAATTTTGTTTAATATCAAGTCAATTGCCACTTCAGATCATTGTTAGTGAGCATAAACAGCTAATCGGATTAAAATTTCAGATATTCACAGCTATATTCGGATTAAAAAGCCATCACTATTCACTACTTTTACTCCGATTTAACGTTTCTTACTCATTTCGTGTCCCGTATGCGTTGTTGAAAACTTCCGATGAATTAAACTATCAAATCAATCCTAATTGGCTACCCATTCTTTCTCCATACATAAAAGCTCCATTCTTTTCAATAACCCGATGACCAAATCGCATAATTAGTGAAACAACATATCGGAGAAATTGGGACTTTTGCAGAACCCCACCACCCCAAACTGAATAATTGGCTCAAATTTCAGCTCCACTGGGTTTTGGAAAACACGAATCGCAGTTCTAAGAAAGGTAGATATATCGCGAGGGAAAAAGAAGATGAACCTGGGCTCGGAGATAAGAAGCTGAAGATGTGCATAAGGCAGCCATCATCGAGACTGCTGATTGGGGAAAAATGAGGCAAAGAAGAAGAAGAAGTTGGTGCCAAGTTCTTAATCGACTTCTTCCAATCTCGCCTCCTCCTTTCGCCTCCCGCCGCGCCCATCATTTCTCCTCTTCGCTCGCCGGGAGCTGCAGAAGTTTGTTCCGGACTTCCCCTGGAAGGCTGGAATACCCCTTGTGGGAAGTTACCGGCATTAACAAATATTTCCTCTCTTTAAAGTCAAGTGATTCTTTTTTTATTGATTGAAGTGTTTTAGGTAGGGATGGCAAAAATATCCGTAACCGTGGATATCCGTCCGAATCCGGCCTAGTCAGGTAGGATAAAACCCGAACCCGAAGGACATTTAGTGGGTACGGGTAAAACCCGAACCCGAATATTGCGGGTAATGGGTGGGCATGGATTTCTCACTATCCGACCCGAACCCGCCCGATTATACACATGCATGTGTATTTTGTCTAGAAATAATCATTATTTTTCTCTAACATATTTCATATTTAGCATATAAATATAACATTTTCATGAAATTGTGTTGTTTTAGTTAATTTTCTTTATTCTAGTGAATTCTTGTCGTACTTTTTCTCTTAATATAAGAATACGTGTGAATGTTAACATATTGGTTGGAGTTATGAAGAGAAATTAATATCCATGGATAACCGTGGATAACCGAAACCCGAACGGGTATGGGCATGGTTTTAATTTTCTACCCGTTTCACATGTGTGTATGGGTATGGGTAAAACCCGAAGTACTTTGGGTAGGGTAACGGATATGCACTATCCGCCCCCGACCCGACCCATTGCCATCCCTAGTTTTAGGGTTAATTCCCTAAATATTGTTTTTTTTAATTTACCACACATATTGCGGTTTAAAAATAATTGACACAAATATTGTGTTTTGTAGAGGGTTACCAGCGAGCACGTCCGAGACTCGGCGAACACGCTTTTTGATTTTTTTCGACCAACTCGAGCGTTAGAGCCTTAGTCTGGGGCGATTTTGGAGACCAGAGCGGTGGCGCCCCAGCCTGAGGCAATTTTGGGGGCGCCTAAGACTGGGGCGGGTTCGCTGCTTTGCCCATCCACTCCAGCCCTATAAAACCAAACGATTCCTTTCAGTAGCTCACAAAAAAAAAATCGATGTCCTGTTAGACGAGAGAAGCTCTGGTTGCGGCAAAGATGGCTAATAGGTAAGAGACACATTTATTTTTTTAATTATATTCTTCAAATGCTGTTATGATTTTGTTTAGTAATTAGTGAGTTTGTTTTTTTTATGTAGTGATTTTACAAGATTTGAATTTGTCGTTCGGTGGAAATCGGAGAAAGTAGAGGATAATTTGGGCCTCCATTTCGTTGGTGGTGGAAGTTTTCAGATGACGGTGCCATCCAGGATGACATCACAAACTTTGTGAGAATCTAATTCAGAGAATACGACGTAGAGACGAAGCAGTGCAAGATAGTGATGTGATCACAGGTTTCACTTATTGTTTTCCAGAATGACAGAATGGTGTTTTATTTCATTATGCGATGCGTATTGTGGATATGATAGTTTGAATGCGCTTTGGAATTTTATGACACAAAACCCTTATTGTTTGGGTGTTGAGCTACATGCTGAGCTCAGTGAGCATCAGGGTGAAGAGGAAGAAGATGAGACATGGAGCGTGCCATCCGATCGTGATGATGATGACGGAGACGGAGAGGAGGAGGAGGAGGATGAAGATGGGAAGGATAGCAGCCTAATTATCCTCACTATTTTTACTTGCAAGGTAATGAAGAGGACGACGAATTGTCATTTGTTGATTCATATGGCGTAATTCCAATGCCTATGGTTGGTGGGTTTGAAGAAGAATTCTACAAGAAGCAGATATTTCACTCGAAACAGGCTGCACAGGTGGTGATTAAACACCACGCACTACAACGCAAATTTCAGTATGTCGTGGTGGAGTCGTCACAGAAAATCTGGAAGGTCAGATGCTTGAAGCACAAGGAGGACAATTGTCCTTGGATGATGCGGTTTGGATGTCGAGATGTTGGAGGCGAATGGACTGTGAGAAAGGCCGAGTTGGTGCATTCTTGTAGCTCTACGACTCAACCGATGGATCATCGCCATCTTGATGTCGACGTTATATCTAAGTCTGTGAAACATTTATTATGTGCCCAACCAAATCTGAGTGTTCTAACTGTGCAAGCCGAGTTGAAAGATAAGTTTAATATGCAAGTTACGTACAAGAAGGCTTGGTATGTGAAACAAAGAGCATTGGAGAAGTTGCATGGAAATTGGGAAGAATCCTATGATTATTTGCAAACATTCTTGCGGGGCGGGGGGGGGGGGGGGGGGGTAAAGAGACAAATGCCAACATCGGTGATTGATTGGGTAAGAGTTCCTTCAGCTCAACCAGGTCATTTGATCTTTTAGCGAGTATTCTGGGCTTACGGACCTTGTATAGATGGATTCAAGAATTGTCTAGGAGTCATGGTTGTTGATGGAACATTTCCTACTGGAAAGTATAAATTAGTGCTACTCATGGCGAGCTCATTTGATGGCCGGAAGAAGATTTTTTTCAATAGCATTTGCCATCGTGGAGAGCGAGAATACTGAAAGTTGGCCATGGTTCATAAGTCGCGTTCAAGGTTTAACCAATCGAAATGATGTCAGCATCATCTCAGATAGACATGCGGGACTCTATCAAGCCATGAGTGACATCGGAAGAGGCTGGGAATGGAGGTGGTGCATGCCACACTATGCAAGCAATTTGCAAAGAAAGACTAAAAGCAAAATTATGTATAAGCAACTATTTCGAGTTGGTAAGCCTTCTGCATCGTTATTGATATTTATTTTAATGTATTAATTATTTTCATTTAAGAATTGTCATGAATTTATCTAACTCGTGTGGTTATTTATTTTGTTAGCCGGAGAAAAACGCTTGGAGAAGTTCGATCGTCAAGTTGAGAAATTTAAGAAGTTGGTCGCTGATAGGAATATTTCTTATGATAACTGGGTGGACCAACATCAAATTCGTTGGAGCTTAGCACATGATAACTATAATGGTGGGCGTCGATGGTCTATCCTGACATCCAACATGGCAGAGAGCTTCAATAGTGTTTTCGAACGTATTCGTTCACTTCCTATAGCTTCTCTTGTGCAACATACTTATTGGCGATTGTTGGAGAAATTCGATAAGATGAGGTTGGATATAGAAGCACAAATCAGAAGTGGTCAATCACAGTACACCACCATCTGCGAGGATCTGATCAAGCCGTGGGCACAAAAGGCAGTTGGACATTCCGTGATGGGGGTTGATCGACGTCAGGGCATCTATGTAGTTCAGACTCCTCCCAAAAATTTCAACATGACGGGTGAGAACACACTCACAGTACACTTCGACGACAACAATTGGGCGGGATTTTGCACTTGTGAGAAATTTCAAGGACATAAAATTCCTTGCTCTCATGCCATTGAAGCTTGCAACCGAATAGGGGCTAACCTGTATAGGTTTGTAAGCGATATCTACAAACTTGAAACAGTGTTGGCTTGTTATGCGACAAGTTTCACTCCTCTTGGTGAACCTAAGGGTTGGAAGAAACATAACGGACCTACTCTCCATCCTAATGTGCACATGATTAGGAAGCCGGAAAGACCACGAACAACAAGAATTCACAACTAGATGGACTGGCCAAGAAAGGGTGTATCACAACAAGTGTGTAGCAATTGTAACCAGTCTGGACATAATGCATCAACTTGTGGTGGCCAAGCAAGTGGCAGTGGGAGCCAACAAAGAGGAGGTGGTGGGCAACGACGTGCGAGAGGTGGTAGAAGAGGAAGTAGTGGTAATAAACGTGGTATGTAGTTTGGTGGAACTTTTATCAAATGTAGTAGTTGTTGTCTTTCCAAGTAGTAGTTGTTTTTTTTATGTTGTTGTGGTTTGAAGAAGTTTGTTTGGAACTTTCGGATTTCCATGCCGAAGTTGTTGTTTTGTTGTTGTTGTCGTTGTGACTTTTATAAAATGTCCTTGTTGTTGTTTGACGTTGTTGATATTAGACAATAGCATTCATCATAACAAGCAATAATGACATAGTACACAATAATAATAGTCCACTAAAGACCACAATGATACATAATGACCATAGAAGTACATAATAATAACATAAACATAATAGTCCACTAACGACCACCACCACCTAGATGGCCGCCAGTACCACACATCCTGGGCTGCCGGTTCGATTGAGGCCTACCATCATTGTGATGTGGCTCCTCTCCCTCCACTGTATTATCCTGGTCCTGTGTACCGAACATGTCATCCTGCTGAGATGGAATGTGCTCCTCTGGTCCATCGCCACCTCTCCGGTGCGCCTGAAGAAACTGCTCATATGACCACTGCGATTGTCGAAACAACTGATCCCCATCTAAACTATCCCACGGGTCTGGCCCTGTGTCTGCTCCAGTATCAGCACTTGATGCCATGTATCCGCCCCCATCATACCATGCTGCGGTGTATGGAAGCTATCCTCCTATGGCTGAAACTGCGGCTGAGAAGGCCCCAAAGAAGTTCCTGCATCAAATCCCTTATAAGCGCCCGGCTGAAATTGCGGCTGAGAAGGCGGATGATCAGGAAGCTCGTGGTAGGCCTAACAGTCTGTGCTCACCGACGATCTGAAATCCTCACTGGACAAGGTACGTCATGCTGCTCACGTTGCTGTCTACGGCTCCTGAGCTCCTCCGTGAACTATGGCTATGGCACTCCCCAGGTCGATGTTGAAACCCTACGCTCTGGCCAACTGTCTAGACTGTGGTCATCAACAAGATACCTCTTAATAGTTATTGTAGGATCGGGATATCGGCGCTCACTAAAACCCAAAGTTGTAACCCTTGCTGCCAACATGTCAGCCAACTCCTCCATCTGGTTGGTGGACATCCCTCAATCCCAAACTCCATCATGTAAACTCAGCTCAGCATACTGGATGGTGTCGTAGTGAAAATTAAATTTAAAATATCAGAAATTCTACACATCCCAAAGCAATTAAAACACATATATGAATTAATAAAAAACTAATCACTGCGTTCATTGTAGCTATTCTCCGTGTGCCTGAACGTCTGGTAACATCTCGATACCACTTTAGATGCTCTGAGTGGTAGGCTAAAGAGACGTCACTGTAGCTCATACGCGCGATGAACTCATGTCGACGGTTCCACAAATCAATCGACTCACTGGCTGCCTGTATTAACTGCTGCCCACGTGCTGGCCCATGTTGTCCCTGACGAAGGCAAAACCTAATCTCAGCCGCGGGATGGGCTGATGAGGTCGGTCCTGCATCATGCCAAACTGTCCAAGCACGTGATCTGGATGGTGCCACATCGCCGATGAAAAGTAGATCAGCGGAACTACTACTCGAAACGTGTTGGACTAGATTACACTACCGCTAAGGTCCTTGGCTCTATCAAAGTAAGGACGCCACTACACACAAAGATTGGTCACATAATTACTCCTAAATCTAAAACAAACCAATGAAAACTATTCTATAAAACGAAATGTTATATACTAACCACAAAGGTCGTGCTCTCGTCAAACCACAGCTTGTACGGATAGAATTTGTAGTCTCTGGTGATGCATAAGCTCGTGGAAATTGCTCTGTAGTCTCTGGTAATGCATTTGACGGCAGCTGATCGAAGGTGTCCGTAACCCAAGCAATCCTAATGACACTGCTGGAAAGATTAGTAGGAGCCCGTCCTAACTGTCGAAGACATGTAACCGACCAGTTCTCGTCTGGTATGTCTACTATGACGGCATCACCGTCGATCGCTAGGCCGGTCAGTGTCGCAACGTCCTCTAAAGTGATTGTCACCTCTACGAGTGCAGTAATCCAACCCAGATCACCAGTAATAGGGACCAGTGGCAGAACCGTAAACAAGCCCGCCTCGACGAGGTACGTCTGATAATCTGGATGGTACCTGACTAAATTGCTCGTACCTCGAATATGGTAAGGTCGATCACCAGCCTAAAGTACACAAAACTTATATTAATTCAATTTCATACGTACTTCTAAATTCAATTCACCTAGTATTTATATATCTAATCTAAACTTATTCTAATTTTAACATATTTCATTCGTAATTCTATTCTAATTTCAGTTTAGTTCACCTAATAAAAAAGTTATGGTTTAATACACTTGTATATCCAAAAGTATCACGGTTGTGCTAATAATATCCAAAAATCCGGAAATACCACTTATATCCATGTTTTAAAGTTGTTCTTTGCCAAATCTATCCACTTCCGTTAAATACTTTGACGGCGTTAATAACTCCGTCAACATAGCTGACGACAAGCTGATTGTACGCCAACTATGCAGACACGTAAGCGCCAACTACGCCAAAAGTGCCACGTAAGAATGAATTAAAAAATAATAATTAATTATTTTTTAAAAAAAACCCAATCCCACATATTCCCACTAACGACGAACAACGAGGACGTTCAGTCCCCCTTTCTCCTTTCGTTTTTAGGGTTCGCACCCTGGCGGCGACAAAATCTCCTCCTGCCGACTGGCCTCCTCCACGCGATTGAAGATCCTCCAGGCGATTTAAGATCGTCCCGCCGACTGTATATACTCCCTGGGATTGAAGATCCTCCCGCTGAGTGAAGATTTCGGATTCGTGGATTCTGGCGATTTGGCGACTACTGCGATTCTGGCGGATTTGGCGATTGGCGATCGGAGACCCAGATTCACGACAAAAGCGATTTGCAGACCCAACTTTCCATTTGTCGTAGGTGATTAACTTCTTTGTTGATTCTCTTCTCTACATTTGAATTCAGTCGACGACTCACCTGTGGCTACAAACGAGGTTGCTCAGAAATCCCCCTTTTCTGTGCGATTAGGGTTTCTTCGAATTCTCTCCTCGCGTTTCCAGGCGACGTCACGATTAGGGTTTCCAGCGGAAAGGAAGGATGGGAGGAGCCAGCCTAAGGTCGTCGCAAGTTGTTTAAGCCACCGAAATCGGTGTTGGTCTTCGTCGAGGAAGGTGGGCGAGAAGGGTAGATCGACGAAGGATGAAGGAAAATCAGGGGATACGACGGATTAGGGGGGTTGCTGCCTTCGTCACCTTCCTCTTCCTCCGTCGCCTTCGTCAAAATCCGTCTCCTTCATCGCCTTCGTCGCCCTCCGCAGGCGAAGGGTTAGGGGTTCGTCGATGGAAAAAATGAGAAGGGTAGAAAGTTAGGTCGAGTCGAGGGTGAGGTAAGATGGGGGCAACTGAATTTTTTTTTTTAATTTTTAAATAAAATTAATTAGCAATACACGTGGATAAGTAAAGAGGAATTGGGAAATAAGCGTTCGCCACGTAAGCACCACCGTTTGTCCAGTCAGACTTAACGTTAACACCGTCAAAGAATGTGACGGAGTTGGATATAAGTGGTATTTCCGGATTTTTGGATATTATTGGCACAACGTGATACTTTTGGATATACAAGTGTATTAAACCAAAAGTTATAGAAGTAGTTGAAGGACTTACCTCATTTGCCCAAACTGAGTCAATACGATGGTGCCCATGTCCCCAAATAAGTACCGGATCTACCAGAGCTGTATGAATTGTCGCAGGTGGTGGTCTCATGGAATAACTATCCATAAGCCTAGAAACTGGAAAAAAATCAGAAACATTAAAAAAAACTAAATAGAAAAATCGACCGCCCCAGCGAAAAAATCGGTCGCCGCTGGCATGCTCCTCTCCTCAGTAGCGGTCACCGCCGCCACGACCTCAACCTCGGCGCCCTCTCCCCCTTCCTCTACCGACGATTTCCTCGTCGTCGGACATTCTCCTTCCGCTAGATCTGCGCTACTACTGGCTGAGGAAGAAGGATGATGAAGAGCAAACTCGTCCGAAGCTGAGGAGTGGCTGCTTGAGTCTCAGGCGAAGCCCTTTGTGGCTGGGGCGAGGCCGCCTTCCTTCCCGACGAGGGCTATTGGAGTCCGACGGGGAGCGCTGCTTGTGGAGGAGGAAGGAGAAGCAGAGGTGGTTCTAGAGAGGAAGGGGACGAGATAAGATATGTGTCGAGGAGGTAAAGTAAAAAGGGAAAGGGCGCCCCCGCCTCAGACTCGGGCGAAAATTCTTTCTTAGGCGGCGCCTGAGTCTCGAGCGGGCTCGCTCCTAACCCTCTACAAAACACAATATGTGTGTAAATAGTTTTTAAACCACCATATTGGTGGTAAAATAAAAAAAGCAATATTTGCGGAATTAGCCGAGTGATTTATACATTTCGTAAAGTGAAAATTTAAAATAAAATTTAATTGGAATTAAAATAATTAAGAAAATTATAAATTTAAAACTTGCAATGAACATTAAGTTCATTAACAAAATTTAATTTAGGAAATATAAAATTAGTCCAATATCAACATTGATAATGAATAATAAACGATTCATCTAATATATAATATATACATATTAAAATAATCCATAATTTAATTAAAATTATCATTTATTTGTATATAAATTATTTATTATATACAAATAAATTAAATTTAATCACTTAAAAAAAATTTATATGGAAGACATAAATTAGTTATTATCATTAAGTCTTGCCATTATTTCGTCTTGATTGAAATTTATTAGTTTTTATATAGGAGACTTAAATTAGTTTTATATGAATATTGTGAATATGGATGGCAACATAACCCTATCCATGGATACCCTACCTGACCCAATCCGGTCAAAGCGGGTAAAATCCGTGTTGATGGATTACGGACCGGTTCGGGTTTCAACCCATTCAACTATTTTGCGGATTGGGTACGGGTTTAGTCATATTCAAACCGTTCCAACCCGTACGCATCTAATTTGTATTTCGTAATTGTGTAAAATGAAGTTGATATTATGCAATGGAGAGTGAAGAAGTTTAGTTGACAAGGAGAAATAAACTTTCAATTAATTATGTTGTTTATGGATGTTTATCTTTAATATTGAACAATCTATATGAATAATTTGTTGTTTGCTTGTATGCTCTAATTGGTTTTTTTGTACGAATAATTTGTATAGGAAGATTAATTTTATACTTTTATTTTGACAGAAAATTATTATGCATTTATAGAACCCATGGGTATCCATGAACCCGTGGATACCCTGCGGGCTGGGTTTGAGTTTTCCAAACCCACTGGGTTTTACCCCGAGTTTTTTTTGGTGGATATACCCATGTGTTTGAGTTCAGGTTTGACAAAATCCAACCTAACCCGGTCCATTGCCATCCCTAGTTGTGAACCCTAGTCTAGGATGTGTTAGACTGTAGGAATTGAACTCTATTTGTGTGGGTTTGTAATTTATATAATAACTGAGAGTATTATTCATGAATGCTAATATGATGGTCGGTCATAGTTCAGTAAAGATTTTAAGTGGTTCCGCTTGTACTATGCTATGTATGAATGATATTTTCTATTTCATAGGGGATCCTGGTTCGTTATTTACAGTTCTTGCATTAACTAGTTCGGAATTAGGCGAAGCTATATCACAAGCTCATGTTTCTACGATTTCAATCTGGATTTACTTGAATGATGTCTGCTGACACGCTACGACACAACACCAAACAATGACCAAGTGTAACCAATGAATGGAAATGCAGAATAGTGGCAAGCTTTATTTATCAACCCAAGGTCTAGATCTACTGCCTACTCCGTGAAATTCTATTATATAGGAGTAAGAGTTGAGTGATTGAGATTCTAATCTAAAGTAGAAAGAAAGTAGTAAATTGTTCGGTTTACTTAGCAGAAGAAGAGTCACTCGGGAATGAGTCCCGCTAGCTCCTCAATTAGGTTCTAGTTGTAATTACCTTTGGTTGATTATTGTTGATTAAACGGCAGAATATAGCTTGGAATCTCTTAAGCTAACCAAACCCTCTTAGACAGAATATCCGCCAGACCACTAGCCTTTACCGGAATAGACTTCTAAAGTGATTCAAACAGAACTCCACTAATGGAATTGGTACCAGTACAAAGCAGTGAATGAACTTACTCTCGTACAATCAATTCACTCATATCGACCTCCTATTGATTGAAGAAACTCTAGCAACCTAATCAGATTTTATCTATCATAGGTTGAAGTAGAAATCAAAAGAAGTTGATCAGGATTCAATTGACTCAATAAACACACTTCAATCGATTAAAACCAGTCAGTACATCATCCCAAAAGTCATTACAATCAAGATCCCTAACACACAGAACTAGGGTTCTTCATACCCAAGTGAGAGAAAGGTTTATATATATATATATATATAGAGAGAGAGAGAGAGAGCAGGAAACAGAAATAAGAGAAATCATACTCATAATGATGTATTTGATAAGCTCTGGGAAGTAAATCGTCACTCCATGGTCGAAATCCAAGCTTGAATGGTGAAACCCAGCTCCAAAATCTATCATAGGGCTTGTTCTGCTTAGTCCGCCCGTGTTCTGAATTTTTCATGTGGGAAACTAAGCTGGGAGAAGAGGGATTACACAGACGCTTCTGAAAACACGATCGTGCCCCCGTGATGAACCCGCATGTGTTCTGGCGTCGACGCGCCCATGCTTTGGAATCTTCAGCAGCTGCCACGAACCAGCTTTTGGCATAATAAACACGGACGGGCAAGGCTCTCTGAGTACACAGCCTTTAGAAATGCCGCCTGTGTATTGATCCTATCTCGACATCACTCTCGCACTAAAAAGCACTGGCGTGCCCCCCGGTTGAAACACGACCGTGTTCCTAAGGGAAGATGCCTATGTCCCTCTCCAGCTTCGTCGAATGACATCCAAACTACCCAAAACTCGTGCCTAAGCCTTCCTTTAACTACTAGGACCTAAAATGTGACAAAAGAGCACAACCCAGCATTAAATAGGCCAAGGAGTCACAGGCTCGAGCCAAAACGGTTAAAAAACAATGGTGCAAACATGTGCAAATAAGACGTTATCAAATTCCCCCACACTTAATCATTTGCTTGTCCCCAAGCAAACCAAGTCAGACACAAGGTAAGCTTAAAATGTTTTAACCATGCAAACTTTGGGAACATATCATATAGGCACAAAACACGTGAATCGTATTAGCTTTTAGACATTAACACATGAATAACAACAACAGCAACCTGGAAAACTACCATAGATGACATTCGAGTGCGGCAAAATCGGGTAGAGGAAGAGTCCTCCTTCTGTTCACCAACCAACGTAGACTTGACTCAACCACTTATTCGTGACAGTCACTTCATGCTTCAAACTCATGACATCAGAATCCAGACCGAGCAGTCTAGGTTCTCCCCAGGGTATATAATATGAAAATTGAATCACTCATTCTTGACTAGTGGGGTCAAGAGAAAATTTGATGCAAGATGTGCATACTCGCACTCTCAATCCCTAACGTCTCTTCAACATGATGGCAGCCTCTAAATGCTAGAGTTCACATATCTGGTGTCACCACTAACTAGTTAGGAGGTCTTAGACACGGGTTCAGATGACTGGCTAGGGTCTTGGACATGGGGAAAAGGCCTTTTAGGTGGTGGGAGAATTCATACACAAGCTTCCACAGTTTCAAAACCAAACACAACAACATTCATTCAAACCATTTACTTTATCTTGGCTATTATGCATTAATCAAGTTCTTTAGGGCACAAGAGTGAAGGAGGTTATACACGTTAGTATTTGCAAGCCAGGCTGCTAAGAAACACTATTTTATGAGCATGGTTAAGGTTTTTTTGGTGGCTCTCTTTTGTTTTTGTTTCTTTTTTTTTCTTGAGATAACCGCCACTTTTAGACATCATTTATCCTTGCAAGCATATGCCCAGCTTTTAAGAACTACCTCCAACCCTAATCTTATTTCCAGTAGAAAACATGCAAAAACCACTATGTGGAATCTCTAAGAGACGCAATAGGGTGTTTTTTCATTGTAGACACAAAGAAAGAAAGTTACACAGTTCAAAGGGGCTGACTAGGGGATATGACACACCAGGACAATCAATTTGGTCGTGGGCTAATCCTATGCCTCCATAATCCTAACTAGTGGCAACGTGAATACTACACATCATGGAAGAGGGATCTATCGCACAAGAAAGAAACGAGCATGCTCAAATCTCACATGGCTACCTATATGCTCTATGTCTCATTCTTATTCCCCGAACTAGATGCATAAACGACTGTCAACAATAAGTGATCAATCCAAGTTGTAGTTGGTAAGAAGACAGTTGAAAAACTGAACCCCTACACAACTCTACTGCACGTCTCAGTCATCATTATGGGTTGTCTTAGTCAAAAGCAAGTTATCATGCATCAATACCAACAACCAATCGATTCACCATATAAAACCACAGTGCCCATATAAACATGCAAACATCAGTACTTGGAGCCCTCAAATCTCGAGATTTGGAATGTGGACTAGGCTCCAAGCATACACACTTAAGTTCCAATAAACACAAAGCATCTCCCCCACACTTAAGTTCATGCGACTGGTGGATCTTGTGACAATTGGAGGCGGCGAATGGGAGAGTGGACCAGAGGAAAGGGAAACGATGTTACCGAGATGTGACAATTGGAGGCGGCGAATGGAGAGTGGACCAGTACATGCGACTGGAAGGGGACCAGGCCAAAGGCATAGAGCTACCGTCAACAAAACACACTGGGTTACAGAAACCATAATTCCAAGTCTACTAACCAAAGAAAAAGAAAAAGAGAAAGAAACCGACAAGGAGTCTCGGTCTAGAAATAAATAAAAAGTACATAACCCAGCATCCCATGGGGAATCAGTCGGGGCCAACCTAGGCCTCATCGCCTCCTTCACTAGTAGGAGGGGATAGTCATGCTCATGCCTAGGAGAGGCCACCTAGGGGTAGTGAACTGTTGCAGAATCCATGCCCAAGTAATGCATCATGTAATGCTGGCCTGAAATAATGTAACGACGACCATCGCGCTCATGATCAAGGCGGCGATTGAGGTGCTCCTGCCCTGCAAGAATCTTCTCGTTCTGACCAGCAATGGCTGCCACCTGGTCAGCAAGAGAGGCAGAGGGGTCAACATAAAACCCAGCCAAAGGGGCAGCTGTAAAAGGGTCGGCGGGTGCCTGGGCGGGATGAATGGGCCCATGCTAAGCCTCAGTAGCACTCGACTCAGGTAGGTCGGAGTCGGCAGGAACCGGGGTATGCAACCGAGGGAGACCCTTGATCCATAACAAAGGCCTTCCCGAGCGAGCAAGTGCTGGTGCCTGAGAGTGTCCTCACCAAAGGGAGCAGGTGGGCGAACCATGGTAATGCAGGTGACGTCGACCCCGAAGTAGCGGGCCAAGGCCGTGATCACAGGTCTACAAGCAAGATAACGATCATGAGTAGCCGCCTTGGCAAAAGTTCGAGCAACGATAGAGCCCAACTCTAGAGCGTCTTCCTCAAGGCCCATCGCGTGCATGAAGTACAACTTTCGGAGAGTAATGCGATTGGCGGAGCCTCGACTGGGAGTATAGCACCAGTGAGCAGTTGGTTGAGGATGCGACACTCCGATCGGAGGAGACTAGACCTCATCTGGCTAGGGTTGTACCCCACCTCCAATCCCTCGGGGAGGCAAATGCGCTTGAAGAAAGATTGCTCCTGGAAGGAGGTGGGATCGGTCTCCTCAAGAGACAGAGGACGGTCGCCGGCATGAGGAGAGTTGAGATCGAGTACTATGGCTAACTCCCAGTAGCTGAGCGAGTGCTCCACCCCGTTGAGAGTAAACTGGACGGCGTCAGCATGATCAGCCGCCATTCGCGGTACGTGGTGAAAAGTGGAGTAGAACTCCCAGACCAGCTCCTGGAAAGTCGGCTCAGCGAGGCAAAGGAGGCGCCGCCAATAGTAGGTGCGAACAACAACCTCCATTGCCTCGCGAGCATGGAGCGCCCTGAAGACCTCAAAGTCAAGGTGCAGATGCTCCGAAATGTTGCAGTTGCGGATATTCTGCAGGCGCAATCGCTGGTCATGGGTCAACAAGTCCAAGTAGTCCTCCATTATCATGCAAACAAGTAGAAAACACAGATGCTATACAGAACAACAGGTCATGACACAGGCTCAGGTAGAACCACACTTGGAGCCCTCAAATCTAACGATTTGGACAGTGGACTAAGCTCCAAGTGGGACAAACATTCACAACCACAACATGTGTTCTCAACATTCATACATCAATCCAGACTGTAGTTCACCAGGAACTCACTAATCAAGCAAAATTCCTTAGGGTCTATGCATGTAATTAGTAGGCCCACTAATTTAGTTGAAGGCAACAGCGAATAGAGCACACAAGATCCACCGACCTACTGAATTTTGACAATTTTAAGCAAAAATCCCCAAATTCCCCAACCGATAACCCTATATATCAATTCTCCAAAATTAAACAAGATAAGATGAAAAACAAACTTGGAGACTCAATTCGATACCGTGGGGAAGGTGAGGAGAAGGAAAAACAACCAAAAAAATTGCCGGAAAACTGCCCGGAGACCTCACTAGAGTCTCGTCAGAGCCTCGTCACTAGCAGCCCGAGCTCCGCCAAATTGGACCAAACCCCAGGGGAATGTGATCCCCGATGCCAGGAA